GGAGTGAAGGCACCCAAAGTGATTTGAAAAACTTCAATTGAAGTGACAGCGGCAGCACTGTTAACTACTCGGTACCTTCAACGTCAAAATAAAATACATTCTGCATCACTAACGTGGATTTTGGCAAACAAATCGAAAAACAAGCATTGGTTTGGTCAGGGAAATTCCTTTTAATTAATTTGATTCTGTTCCTCTCAGTAAAATCGACAAATTATTTCAGTAATATTACAAAAATGTGGCAGGCGCAGCAGATAGCAGCAATACAAATAGCAAATCAAATGCTTTATGCGATGTCGGCACCATCAAGCTACTCCTTGAGTCAACGGCCGCCACATTTAGCACAACATGCTATGGAAGACAATGCTGCAGACACGGACGACGAGGATGATGAACAGTTACGCACGCTTTTTGTTGGCAATTTGGATGATCGAGTCACCGAAGATCTACTTTATGAGGTTTTCCTGCAAGCAGGGCCAGTCGAAGCGGTACGGATACCAAAAGACAATAGTGGCCGTCAACGTAGTTTTGGATTCGTAGTTTATTCACATCGTTGTACTCCGTCTTATGCTATCAGGTTATTTGCGGGGTTAGCGTTTTACAGGAAAATGGTAACAATTAAGCTTCAAGAAGATCCGAATGCATCCAATAAACGACGTTCACTGCCCACTGATTGCGAGCGATACACACCCCGCCCAGGTGATAATAATATGTTACGCAGTACGAGCTATCCAAGTTTTTATGATCCAAGTTTAAACGAAAACAATAACTCAACGCAATTTTCAAACCCGTTTCGGACAAATTCACCTGACTGGACAAAGGGTAACAGCGGTAGAGGTCGAGACAGAGGTGGCAGAGAACGCGAACGAGAAGTTGACAATGACCGCGGGGCGAGACATTCAAACTCGCACTCCCGTTCACATCCCTACAAACGTGATGAACGTCGGCAGCGCAGATAACAGAAGGTAGCCGATGGCGGCAAAGAAGTTGGTGCCATTGGAAAAGATGGAAATTAAAGACATACCACAAACATTGTTAATGATAATCACAGGTAGGGGCAGTATACGTTGACATACATTGCTTGCTGATATACATACATACACAACTTCGATCAACCAAAATAATTTGGATCCTTGGCATAATTATAAGTGACTTTTCAAAAGATTATTTAAGAAATTTGGTATAATTTGAAATTGAATTGATACATGATTATATATTAACTTTTATCTCTTGTAGTGTTTTAATTAAAAAACAAATAAAATAAGAAATTTATCGCACATCAACTTTAATAATGTAATTATAGTCATTTAGTTCGTAAAACTATTTATATGTATAGGGTTACTAAATAACTTTTATACTTACCGCCCCGAACGACTATAAGAAGTAAAAAGGTGAATATAAAAGAAAGAGCATCATTTATAACAGTTCATCTTTATTAAAACATAAATTGTATTTGCATGCATCCGTTAAAACGATTATCTTATACATTTTAAATATATGTAATCTAAATTGCGATATTCATATTGATTACTCATATACTTGATTCATGCACATTACTTACATATGTATGTATATTCTAAAAACCTAAAACTGTAAATAAAATATATACGTGTAATTACAATTGTCATCAAATCACAATTAATCTAATGTGCCAGTGAGCAAATCGTTTTCAAAAAATCGTCAAAAAACTATTTAAATACACTTGTATGTACAAATTGGTTATATTACTTCAAAACTAATTTTAATATGCGCTCTAATTCATGAATTATTCAACGTATACTCTTCAACGTTTTCTCAACATTCCGATATGTACGCGTTGGTATCACTTCTATGACTAGACGGTTGTAGTTCGGATGATTGGAGAGCAGTCGAAATATTGACTTAGCGTAGCTGCGCGTTTCTAGGCTGCCCTCCAAGAGTAAATTGGCGCTTGTGACAAAGAATTTATCACGATTTTCACGCTGCATCGTGTACACCTTATCACTGCCCAGACGCTCTACAAGACGATGCAAAAGTTTAGCAGCAGTCGTACGCACCAATGCATTCTGATGTAGTGCACCCTTTGTGGTGAGTATGTTAAGTACTTTTGTTGGCGTTAAATTATCACACATTGATTCCAGGGCACGTGTCGCATCGGCACGCAGAAATCGATTTGTGTCAGCTGTACGATGCAGCAGCCCACATACCAAATCATCGCATTCCTGCTCCAGACACTTCGATTTGAGTTTGAAAAGTTCGGTGGCAGCCTGACATGCGGCCCGCGCTACTTGGGAGCGCAGATTACGCACCGATCGTGTCAGCTGTATGCAAACCATATGCATTTGATTTTCCAAATGCTCTGGATGATGACGCATCATACGCACCATAGATTTAAGACCCAGCATGATAATTTCCCAGTTACTCGAGTCGAGCTGATCGAAAGTCTTTAGCAAGGCATCACGAGGTTTTTCGAAGCGCTGCAATGTTGGTGGATAGAGTTCAGCTGGTGGCATTTTTATCGCTTGCTTTACGGGCGAAATGCGACGATGATTTTTCAAGAAGTGTGATGTTTTCGCCTTTTGCTTTAGCGGTGTATGCTGTGGTTTAATAGGTATGGTGGTATTAAGTTGAGAGCTTGCTGCAGAACCCGATTCAGTGCTGGTGTTGTCGTAAATCAGCTCTTGCTTGATGGTGGACGCTCGTATAGCGATTCCATGGATTTGATCATTGAATTGCGACGCGAAAGAATTTTTAACTCTGCTATTGTAGGTGATCGCGAACGTGTTTGCGATTGTGGACGTGAGTTGCTGGGTGTTTGCGATTGTGATGGCACGGTATTGCATTGGCATGCCGCATCATCCATTTTTGCAGCGACATGCAGTATATTCATATTCGCTCTTGATGTGCCATCTTTACTTGTGTGCACTTTTTCAAGTGCTTGCCCGTGAATATGACTTTCATGTCGTTAGTATGCTGCTCATCCATAACTACAAACTGCTATCATCCTCTATGTCTTCTTCAATCAACAACGACTTGCAGATTGTGCTCGTGACAACACGGTAGGCGTATCGCCAAGCTGAGTTTTGATGCTATCGCTTTTGCTTTGCAAACTGGCCAAGCTGCCGTTTTTCTGAAGCGGCGTATTATTGCCACTCAATGTGATTCTCGAAGTGGTTATGTCCTGAACATCTTCCAGCTGCAAGACTTCTGGGTCGCTTCTCCATTTCGTGGGAGATGGACTGGTTGATTCATTATCGCTACATACATCCTGTAGTGCACCCATTTGTAGAGGCGAGCTGTTATCAGTTGTATCGTCTTGGTCTGCGCTGGCACTATTTCGAGGAGCCTTGTCGTTAAAATTGTCGAGTGTAACTGATTGCACAGATGCGGTTGATTTCTGTGAATATGCTGCCGATTTGATTGAGTTTGGGGTTGCTTGTTTAGATTCGGTTGCGATCTGTTGCTGCATTTCTGGGCTACTTGTTGTTCCGCTCACTGTCGCACCTGGCTCAGCGGGAATCGCCTTGTTGCTGTAAAAGATCAAAGATAATTTTTTTTTTTAATACTAAATAAATTTTATAGTATTCGAGGATATGTGAAATTTGCGGAGTACAACCGATGCGGAAGTTTAATGTCGGTCGATTTGTGGAAACGCTTGTTTAAATATTTTTTAAGTTATAAAATTATGTCATTGATTTGAGTAAAAAAAATGTTCTATTTCAATTGTTGCCAGAAAAAGAATAAACCATTTTGTTGTTAAAAGGCAGCCAAGTATGTAGAGATTTGTGTTCATGAATTGGAGCAAAATTACCGTACATATATTTCAGTTAATTTTAAAACATTACATGAAAAATCTATTATAAAGTCTATTGTGATAAGCTAGTTTTAAATTTGAAATATGGAGTACAGCAAAGAAAATGTCTTTTATATCTAAAATACTTTGGAATCTTTTGTATTTTTACATTTATGTACATATGTACAATAGGGTCCTCGATTATTATTTCCCCTTTTCCAAAACCGGGTTTCTAGATATTCGAAAAATTGAAATTCGCAAAAACCGGTACCCAGTTATGATCAAAAATTACAATAAAACTGTGGACAGCAAAGATAGCTTTCCCAGCCAGCAAAATCATCGTAAATGAACTCGAAACTGGATATTTTTTCGAAGAAAAACCGGCTAAATAGTCGTTTATGATAGCCGTTTACGATTCGTTTTCGAGTACTTTTTCGCTTGAAATTGTCGAGCGCCTACGAACAGTCGTAAACGGATCGAAAAAGCACTCGTATGCGAATATTATATATTATAAAATATTGTGGATCAAGAAAAATTTACAACAGAATGAAAATTTTTTCTTGTGCTGACAAATTATTACAAGCCTCTTTTTGCTTTTGCGTTTTATCGTTTACGAGCCTTTCTCTAACTTTTCGCCGATCGAGAATCGTAAAATGTAGTAAAATGTACGTTTTCTTGCTCGCTGGGTATTTGAAAATAATTTAAAATCGCACAAATGGAAAAACAAAAAATATTGAAAAATGATATAATGATGGAAATGATATGTTAACGTATATTTCAAACGCATTCTGTTTATTCTGGCTGTGAAATTGGATTATCCGGAATGAATAAAGAAACGCAGCCATAATGTTCGTAAAATGTAAGTTTAGGAAAGAGCAAAGCAAAATAAGTACAATGTTTTTTTAGATCAAAAGTAAAAAAAAAATAAATTAGTGAAAAAATCACGATTGGTCTTGTTCAAGGCGAATTTATACAAGGTGGTGTTAACAGAACAAAAACGAAAATTACAACAACAAATTATACGGTCCTTGACAACCAGTACAAAGCCAAATTACAACAAACACATGATTTTGACAAAAGGTACAAATTCGCCGTGAAATCAGCGGATCCGATAACACCACCTTGTATAGATTCGCCTTGGTCTTGTTTTAACTTTTTTTAACACTACAGCAATTTTCTGAAATTTTTTCGGTTTTGTGTAGTGCTCTTGTCGCCATAGCCGAGTGCTTGGAGGTTCACTGCAACACCAGACCATTTTATTCAAATAGTGATCACCCCTCGGCAGACAATGGCAAACATCGAGTGTACTTCTGCTATAAAAATCACCCTCGGTGGTGGAGTAAAGTTGTAGTTCTCGTTCTTTCCATTTGTGTCACAACATAAAGAGCAGAACAAGAATTGGTGGAGAAGCTCGGCCAACAACGTAGAAAGCGTTTTAGCACCAAAAATTATATGTAATTTATTGAAATAAAATATTATCCTGCAGTGGGATTCTGGCAAACGCTATGCTAAATTTTCTTCGCGGAAATTCTCTAAATGAAAATCTGTGGGGCCTAAAGTGCGCGACATGAACAAGTAACAGATGCAATGTGTAATCAGCCTAAGCTGACATTTATCCTGTTCCCGTATTTCGCGATTTGCAGGTTTTACAGGAACAGCTGTTTTCGCCTTTAATAGTTGCGATCCCGTACGAGTCCGGACTAGTCAGAAATAGTCAGAATCAGTCAGATTTTACTGGAAATCGATCCCGTACTCGGTTCTCTGACTATTGAGAGGACAAAAAAGAGAGTAAATACGGTTCTCTCTCTGTCTGAAGTTACCAGTTTTAGTCAGAAAATTTTTTGCTGGTAAATTCTGGTAAATGTGTCAAACGATCAGCTGTAGTGTGTTTGG